TGATATACCAGCCTAACAATGACACCCCCAAGGTTTCTATGGCAACACTCTACTCCCAGATGACTTACAACCTGTCCATCCGCGATACCCGTCGCATCCAGACGGTGAGTAAAAATATATGAAAGTCCTAGCTTGTCCCACCCTCCCGGCACAGATGGGCTGTTAAATCAAGCAAACCTTAAGTTCTCCTATAACACTGACTAATCTGTGTGTGTGTGTGTGTGTGTGCGTGTGTGTGTGTGTGTATTTGTATTGTAGAGCTATATCCCCATTGGCTCCGTTCCATACAAATACCGCTTAATGGAATACGATACTGAGTACTGCTTCTCTGCCCTGGCAAGGTTCATCTCAATCCCTCTCCATTGTCAGTCGTCAGCATGGCACTGCATAACCACGCCTCCAGGTACAACCACATTGCGTGTGTGTTAGTGTGAGAGAGTGAATATTTCCCCTCTCTGATTGACAGGTAGAAAGGAACGTAACTAAACCTGATACGCAAGTGAAAGACAGATTGATGTTAGTTCCTGAAACGTCTTTTATTTCCTGTGTCAATCAAGAAAAATAGCTTAGTGAGAGCATTTTAGATTTTATACAAAAGTGAGTGTGTGTGTCATGTTCCTGTTTCCCATTATCCTCCAGACCCTGTGATTGGCCAGCTACGGAGGGTGGTTGTGGGTATTGTTGTTCCACTTGTGTGCATGTGTATGCTGCTAGTGGTTGGCTACGTTCTCTATTACTACCTGACGGGGAAAGAAGAGAAGAGCCCATATATACTGGTAATGCAAACACACACATTTTACACACAATGGCTCTACTGTCTATCCTTTATTTATTTTGTCCTTAATGTAATTAAAATTTGCAAAATGGCATCTTAAATTTTTTTGCAATATCAATTTTACTGTCTAATTGATATGTGATAAATAATACATGACTATTGCATGGCTTCTCAGCATGTCAAGTTTATTTCAAAACGGTTTCAAAAGCTAAAGGTCAGTCTTTTAATGCCACACTCCTTCAACTTCCAGAACCCACCTTCTTTTCATCAGCCCCCTCTGATGTCCCCCCCTGAGAATCTCAACATCACCCTCATCACCATCATCCAGTCATCAGATCTCGAAAGTGGCGTATCAGACCGTAATTGCCCAAAGCGCGATGGACCCTTTGCAGAACCACCACCAGCATATGCCCCACAGAGGGCACAGAGGGAAGTACCCCCAGAGCCTGAGGACCCCTGGGATGATGAATCTGTTGATTATGGGTTTGTTGGCGTAGCTCCTAAAATCAGTGTCCGAGGAGAAGAGGAAGAAAGAGAGGAGAGGAGGCATGATGGTGGGGAAGATGGGAATAATCTGAAAGGTGTACACCTGAAAGGTGCAGCAGAAGACAGTCACAAGAAGAAAGATTGGAGAGTTGGGGATGGTCACCGTACTGGAGTTCACGCTCTTCGTGCAAAGTCCTACCTTTCGCAGAAGTCAACCCACACATGCTCACAAACACACATGCCGACAGAGATGAGCACACTTATACAGGCGCATGCATTTTCACAGGTAAATTCTGTTCCACCCACCCACACGCAGACACCATTACTGTCTCTTCAGGGAACAACCAAAGGAGAGGAGGATGGAGAGAAGCAGGGTAGAGAGTGTCCTGGTTTATTTATAAACAAAACCCCACAAATTGGCCTCTTCCATGTGCCTTTAAATCTACAAACAAAGAAGGAGGAAGAGATGGATGGAAAGTTGAGAGCAAGAAGAGATGAAAAGATAGGTGGAGGTGTGGAGGAAGAAAGCGAGAGCGAAGGAGCACCTCTTCTTTCGGCTTATGCCTCTCAGAGTATCAAAGGCATGTCTACTTCCCATGCTGACCAGGCAGATGTCTTACCAGATGACTATGGTGTTCTGAGATTGGCTACAGTGGTCAGAACAGAGGACGAGGAGGAGGAGGAGGAGGAAGAGGAGGGAACTCTTTGTATTGATTGGGATCCCGAGACCAGGCAACTAGTGTTGCCAGAGATGGGGATTGAGTTCAGCGGGGAGGAAGGGTTGATGCAGGACGAGAAAGGGAGGGAGAACAGGATGGGTGGAGAGGAGGAGGAGGAGGAAGTGAATGCTACGAAGGGAGAGTTGAAGCTGGAAAACGTGTATGTCAGACAAGGGTCCGAGGAAGTGGCAGAGGCACAGAAAGAGATGGAGAGAAGTGGGGAAAGAGGGTGGGAGGTGGATGATATTTTGACCAAATGGAACTTGGTAATCTCAATGGACCAGTAGATGATATTCATCAATATATTCACCCCATTATTACAGAAAAATTTTCTTCTTCTGCACATAGAATCATGGAAATATTTTTGTACGAAATCAGTTTTATTTAAAATACACGTGATAATATTAAATTCGAAGGAGCACTTAGTACTGTAGTAGGGTTTTTTATACACACGAATGTTGCTGCTTTATCATTATTATCATGATTTATGATGTATCTGATTAACTCAGTCTAATCATTGTATTATGCTTGACATGAAGTCAGACTTCTTGTAATAGATAACCTGTGATAAAGGATTCTTCCTGATTAAACGCTGTGTGATAAAAATGTAAACCATATTACTCCATGGTCACTAAATGCTTCATGTCTCAAGCCAACAAAGCACCAATGAACTGCTCCGGTTTAATTTCCCAGAACTATCATCAACATACCAGATTAGATTGTGGACAGATTGCACAATCTTTGTGATTGTGATCTTAGTGAGTTCTGGAGATTTGGTAGTAGTTAAAAAGTCCTATAAAGAAACTTTACGTTGGTGTTGTCTTCTACTTTACCAAAAAAAATATCTGTTTAGTTGATAGTTGCAGTAGTTGTGGGTAGTTTTGGTTTTGGTCTAGTCTGTTCCTGTTTTAGTTCCAGGTGAAGTACTTAAACTGTTTTTGTTGAGACAGTATTTATTGGTATGCTGGTGGCTGAATCATAATGTTATTATTCCTCATTTTATCAGTCAGTGACTAGAGCAAACTTTTTGTAATAATGCCCCATTGCTGAATATATGAAGGAAATACTGATGTTCAAGGACAAGATGTGCATTTTTGTGATTCCATGATGAAGTAAAAACTACAGCACTTTTTCTACTCAATCTAGAAACTATAAATAATGAAGCTGCCTGACCTGCAGCATGTGTCAATATTATCTGTGCCTTTGTTTTCTGTTTGAGATGTTCAGAGGCGTGACAGGATACTTCCTCGTCTTGCCTATGTTGTCAGACTTCATTATTTGCTACTGATGCTACTGATTAAAGCACAGTAAATACTTTCACTTTGGTATAATCGTATGTTCATAAGCATGCTACATTAAGTATGTTTCGTTGTGTAATAATGGAGTGAATCATTGTGCTCTTTTGTTAATGTTCCTCTTTTTAATTATCTTTGCTTAAAGTCATGTTTAGTCAAAATGTTATATGAAGGAAGCTTTGATAATACATTTTATCCACACAGCAGTTATCGCCACGGTCAGATTTGGGGAATTTTTGGCACTGAATTACTGTAAAACCTCTTCCTGTACACTGGTAACTTGCATGCATCCAAAGCCACAGCAAAAGGGTAATTATGAAACCCCACAGTTACTTTTAGTTTCAGATTCATGTATTTACACAATTCAGGTTATTTGCAATATGATATGTTTGATGTTTTGTCAAAATGGTTTTACTATGTGAAAGAAGTCAGTGATATATTTGTCACAGTTTTTTATGTTGCAAGAATTATTGCATATTCAAAAATAAAAAATTTTACTTGGTAACTATTGTGTTCTGCTGTGATTTTAACACCTGTTATTTTACCAGTGTTTCCTTTTTCTCACTAGAGGTTGATACTCTTATCAGCTTTTAGATATTCTCAGGAAGAGTCCACATGCTTACCATACATACATACCGACCTTTGTTCTGCACTATGATTAACTTTCTCATACGAGGGCCAATAGAGCCATCTGCTGGTCATATTGCAAACACACATCATGGCATTTTCTGTGCAAGCAAGAGCAAGGACATTTAAAATTAAAATTAATTCCTCTCCCACCTTATTCCTTGTATCTGATATAGACATATATAGGTAAGTATACTCATTAGTGATGCTGTAACTGCCCGTTAGCCATAGGTTTTAAAGTTGGAAAATCTCAATTTCTGTGATTGTTATATATTTCTCCTGTCATATCACCACTATACATGCACACTATAAAAACATGTTGTATCCTAGTATGGATTGTCACTATTGTTGTTATTGATAATATTGAGGTCTGGTCTGATGTTATATTCAGCCCAGTTGTAGGCTATTTAAGACTTTGTCTCTGGTAATGTCTATGAATAAAAAGATATAAAGATTGTATATGTTTTATCAGAATTTAAACCTTTAAATGTACTATCATCATCAAGTCCATAGGTCCTGCCAAGTCCAGGCCACTTATGCTCCTGGACCAAAGAAACACTGCATTAAATGAAGTTGTTTTTGTTTATCTAGATATGGTTAATATCTAGTTAATACATCTTTAGAGCCACATTGGTTTTGATATGGAGCTCCACCAGGAGTCACTGTATCCAGCAAAATATGTAACGTTTCATTCGTTATTATATGTCACATTAATATATATTAATGTTAAAGTAGCATTTTACTGTTGAAGCAAGGTGAGGTGAGGCTATGTATAATATTTTCACGTTATCATGTTTTGTAACGTTATGTAACCTGGTAACTAGCTGTCAAAACTTCAACATTTTGCCCTTTATTGTTATACTGCTATTTTCATTCATAGTGAATTAGAAGGAAACACTTGTTCAAAATGGAAACTAAAGTACAAATACTTGAGTAAATGTAGCCTAACTAGTTAGTTACCCTACTGGGACCAAGTGAGTAAGTTGCTGTTTGTTTGTGTAAATGTATTTGCCTCTAGGTGGCGCGCTGTGCTCCATCGGCAGCTCGTCCTCTCCTCATCCATCATGGCTTCGTCCCTCTCAGCTTCAGCTCCGCATCACTGGGCGGGACCACGGCGGGTCGGACTGCCAGCCGTTGGGCACTTCCGCCGGGCTCGGGTTTCCTTCGACTCGGCATTTAAATTGAGCTGCAGGACATCAGCTGCTGCTACACTCAGCGCTGTGCTGTGACAGAAAATACCCTCGTAGCGCTAGCAAAACAGGCTACTCGTATTTTTTTTTATTTTTGACACGAAAACGGCAGAAATATTAGTTTGTCCCGACGAGGTTTTGTGTTGTTTTGTGTGCTGAAGAGCGGGAGTGGTTGAACAATAACGGTGGTTGCGCTCTGACAGCAGGTCGGTGCATCATTTTTGGGATTCCTCTGCTAGTTAGCCCTTGGACGAAAATTGAATTGCGGTAACGGGATGTTGTGCATGAGCAGCGTGATTTAGGCCTTTCTGGACAGTGTTTGTTTACTGAAATAGATTGGCAAACAAATAACAACTTCATTTAATGCAGTGTTTCTTTGGTCCAGGAGCATAAGTGGCCTGGACTTGGCAGGACCTATGGACTCGATGATGATAGTACATTTAAAGGTTTAAATTCTGATAAAAACATATATAATCTTTACATCTTTTTATTCGTAGACATTACAAGAGACAAAGTCTTAAATAGCCTACAACTGGGCTGAATATCAGACCAGACCTCAATATTATCAGTAACAACAACAGTCACCACCCATTCAGTGTGGCAGGACAGACTGACTGACTGACTGACTGGCTGGCTTTATTTCATCCATATATATTTTTCCTGAGGCTGATTTTCAGCAATTTGTTTTCCAAAACAGACTTTTAAGGTGATTTCCAGAAAAATATATCATTTAGTGTGCATTAGTTTGTATATGTCACTAAATTAGGTTTGAATTAGGTTAGATCTTCATCTGACTTTTTGAAACTGTTTTAGTTTGGAGTATCTAATTCCTCAAGGACATAACAAATTTGTAGACTTTTCAGGATATACCTGTCAGTCAACAACAAGAATAGGCATCTTTGACCAGTTACACTCATTGGAGGCTTTACTAGTGTAACAATAAGCAACCAGCAACCATGTTCAGCTGGCTTGGAACCGACGACAGGAGGAAGAAGGAGCCAGAAGTCTTTCAGACAGTCAGTGAAGGACTTAAGAAGCTCTACAAAACCAAACTCCTGCCGCTGGAGGAGAGCTACAAGTTCCACGAGTTCCACTCTCCAGCTCTAGAGGATGCAGACTTTGACAACAAGCCAATGGTGTTACTGGTTGGACAGTACTCCACTGGCAAGACAAGCTTCATACGGTGAGAAAAACAGCACACAAACACGCTCATATGTGAAGAGCTTCATATGACAAGGGTTATCCACACACACACACACACACACACACACACACACGCCACCAGAAAGATAGAAAGGGCGAGGTTGACACACCCAAACTGACTTTACCCTCTCTCAGCTGCACCAGTGAAGCTGTTTTTTCGTGTAATACACTAGAACCTAACACAATTGGCCTAAAACACATTGCAATGAGGTAAAAAAAACATAAAGATTATTATGAAAAAAAGAAGAATAACAAAAGGATCAGTCGTCACACACAAAAATACACCCACAGCCTAACTGCTTAGAGCCACACCTCTGCAAACTTTATTGAATCCATTAAACAGTTTATATGACAGCCAACATAACATACAGGCATGCAAACCTAAATCATATGGAGACAGCACTGCCTGACACTGGAGCCCTCCCTGAGGATGTGTGTGTACATACCACATCCTATTAATGGTACATACATGTGTCAAGATTAGACTGACGGATGAAAATCTTTCACATTAGGGGTTGTTCTGGGATCTAGTTCATTAAACTTTTATTTTCATCTGGTGGAGATTAGAAATAGCCTGTAAGCGTTACACAACGAGTGGTTGCTAGTAAAATAATGCTGTATATTTAGAGTGGTGTGAGAACTTACAGTATGACCTGGAGTATCTCTGGTATTGGTAGATGTGTGACAGCGGGAGATATTAGCAGCTGCGTGTTGGGACTCTTTGAACTGCAGGGCAGCTACTAAAGACTCGCCCCTCTCTCGCGCACTCGCACAAACATACGCTTGCAGAGCATAGTAGGTAATTAGTGGGGTTAGCCTTTGAAAGCCAGAGAGAGGATGCTGTTAGTGACTTCCTGCTATAAGACTGTGCAGACATCCCTGCTCTCTTCTCCTTCCTCTTCTGTCTCACTCTCTCTATCTCGCTTCTCGCTCTATCTTTTTACTCTTTCACTAATGACAACACCCACCAGTCAGCAGACTGACCCCACACCACTGTCATTGTAACAGTAAGATGCAGAATGTACAAACTGCTGAGTAACCCCCTGACCAGCATCTCTTTCACTTCATATGGCAGGGTCACAGGCTCTGGATGTGGAAGCAGTGCAGCTCCTTTAGGAAAAGTTACAATAATGATGCTTTTTTTTTTTCATTTTAACAAGTCATAGAATGTAAATAATATCTGTTTGGCAGCTAAAGGAAAGGTAAAATGGACGGAAAGACAGGAAATGCTGGTGGAGGGTAATATAGTCTCTCTTGTATGGCGGTTATTCAGAGGGCTGTAATCAGACCCTGTCTTCCTTTTTATGGCTGAAATTTATTGATTTTCCACTTTTGTCCCAAATTTTGCCTTCTGAGACGCTTTCAAAGAACAAAATAATCACCTGAATCCAAGTTTTCCTTCAAGGTGACTAAAAGTAGTGTGTATGTAAATTGCACACACACACACACACAACACACACAGTAAATATATGATATCAAACATACAGTCCGCTAGATGCACATACATATGCTTTGTGCAACCACCCCACAGACAGATAGACAGGAGGACTCCCACTACACAGACACGTGTGCAGAGAGATGGCTCTACCAGGCACTGCTAGCTCTTCTGACAAGGTGTGTGTGTGTGTGTGTGTGTGTGTGTGTGGAGAAGATGTATGGGGAACCATCCTTACATCTGGTAGCAGTTAAAATGCATACACATCCCACACTCACACTTTAAATTTATGGTCCCTTTTTAGCTGTAAATCTTTTGCCTAAATGTCTTTTTTTTTTCTCCCCCTTCTTTTTTGGTCTGCATTAACATGTGTGTTTGGGGTGTGAGACTCAACAGAAAAGCACTAATCTTCATTTGTATCACGTGTGATGTCACAGAATTAACAGATGAGGATTCGACCTTTCACACCTACAACATCTGGGTTGTAAGTCAGCTGTGTTCCCATAGCAACTGTCACAGATGAGGTCAAAAGTTTGCATCAGTTGCAAGTTTAACATGATGCCTGTTTCTTTTATAGGTGTCCTGAAAAATGTGCCCAGTCAAAACCATACATGCATAAAATCTAACGTCGGTTGTCCGTCCCTTTTAACCTTTTCCTCCTCAGTCAGCTGTTCTTCATCGTCAGTAAACAAAACAAGTGTCTGGCAAGCTGGTAGAGCTCAACCAAATTCTTGTACAGATTCGTCTTCCTAGTCCAGTCTGAATATTTGCTACATGGTCAGTGTTATGTCCACTTTGTGCAGTTTGCAGCATATCAGTCCCACGGGGTACTACTGACAGCGGTCCTCATGCTCGTGGGGACTGCACATCCCCTTCTCCACTACAAACATACCTTTGTTCATGTAATTCTGCTTTTGGCAAAATACCTCTATTAAATCAAACATTATCCTGCTGAGTTTGGAGCAGTGTTCAGCAGCCGTGATCCAACCTATGATGATGTAAAATTCCCCTAATCTTTGTTCCAGCAGCTTCTAATTCAAGGCAGACCTGTTTTCTGGTGATTTCTTTTTTTTTTTTCTTACCATCCAGACCAATTTCCTTTCCGCACAATCACTTTGAAAGAGCCTTAAAGCCCTTCTTTGAAATCAGAAGCTGCAGAGGTAACGCATCTGCAGCTGACTGCCGGGATCCAGTCAACTCATAAGATTGATTATAACTGACAAATAATCTAAAATCTACAAGCAGATGTGGAAGTGGTTGGAGAACTTTTCTGTCATAGGTGCTTTACAGTAGCATAATTTTCCTCCCAGACAAATGCTTAAAAAGTGGATGTAATATTTGTGTCCTGAAGTCTTTAGAAATTCCTATTAATCTGCTCTATTGTTCATTGTCTCAGGTAGCATCTCCTGGAAGGATTATGCCAACAATAAAAGCCTTTTATGTACGGTTGATTTATTCTTACACGGTGGGTAGTCGCTCCAAAAACATCTTATCCCTTGCCTTGTTTTGTTTAACGCTATGTCATACTATCTCCCATACAGCTACCTGTTGGAGCAGGATTTTCCTGGAATGAGAATTGGCCCTGAACCCACCACCGATTCCTTCATCGCGGTGATGCACGGCGACACAGAAGGAGTCATCCCCGGCAACGCTTTGGTGGTTGACCCCAAGAAGCCCTTCAGAAAGCTGAACGCATTTGGAAACGCATTCCTTAACAGGTAAACGCACACATACGCATTTTCACAAAGTGCTACATGAATTACACTGATGGCAGATGCTGTCAGATATCTTTTGAGGGTGTGTGTGTGTGTGTGTGTGTGTGTGTGTGTGTGTGTGTGTGTGTGTGTGTGTGTGTGTGTACTGAAAATACAAAGCGGTGTACCAAGGTGAAGTATGTGAACGTAGAGGGGAAATAGTGGAGAAGAAAGAGAGGGTGAGAGTACTAGTGAAAAACCACACTGTAGCTCTACATTCCTGTGTGATTGAATTTCCCTCTGCTCACTGGTCAGGCCTTTCTCTTCTAATGGCTGTCTGTGTGTGTGTGTGTGTGTGTGTGTGTGTGTGTGTGTGTGTGTGTGTGTGTGTGTGTGTGTGTGTGTGTGTGTGTGTGTGTGTGTGTGTGTGTGTGTGTGTGTTTGTGTGAGAGAGAGATAGAGACAGCCAGTCCTCTCTGCAGAGTCATCCTTCTGGAAAAGGAAGTGCCAAAAACTCTTTACTCTTGCGGGTAGTGTCCTCGCTGTGAGGGCTCACCACTGCTGAAAGAAGGCAGAAGAAACGCTGACTGTCAGTGGGGATTAAAGGGGTTCACAGTGAGGACGACTGCTAACCTGTTTGTATTTATACAGCTGGAGACAGAGAGGGAGAGCAGCGGAGATGTAGGAGAAGGAGGAGAGAGGGAGAGTGAGGTCTGGAGAGGGATGATGTTTGTTGTTAAAACGTTTTACACTTCTGTCCGGTTTCTTTTAACTCTTGTGTGTGTGTGTGTGTGTGTGTGTGTGTGTGTGTGTGTGTGTGTGTGTGTGTGTGTGTTTGTTTTCTAGGTTTGTGTGTGCACAGTTGCCTAACCCAGTGCTGGAGAGCATCAGTGTGATTGACACACCAGGGATTCTGTCAGGGGAGAAACAGAGAATTAGTCGAGGTAAGAGACACACTCATGATCCTCCGCTGTTTATGTTAATGTGTGTGTGTGAGAGAGAGAAAGAGGGAGAGGGTCAGTGTTCGTTCAGCTGGAGCCCCCTTCATCCCACTGAACTCTGAACTACCATGTCAGCATTTCCTTTGGATGTGTGTGTGTGTGTGTGTTTATTTTAGTTTTTAGCTATCAGGAGGATTATGCTTCATTCATTTCAAAGAACAGGAAGCAGTGGCAAAAAAGATGAGCTTTGAATGTGCTCTCTTCACACACACACACACACACACACACACACACACACACACACACACACACACACACACACATGCACAAACACATGCATGCACACGGTTCAGATTTAACATTTTGTAACACTGTACAGTTCAGTACTGATTTTAAAACATGCAAAACACACATTAAACTTTTATGATCAACAAACAAGAGCTGCACATAAGTAGTTACATATGCTTTAGCTTTGGCACGGAAACAAAATTCACTATTTTCAAAGTCACTGCTGAGCAGAAAATGCAACCAGAGAACCATAAAACTATTCTAGGGACTCTTAGATTTTCCTTTGTTTACACTTCAGTAAGTTTTGCAGTGGTTAAAATACAACATACTGTTATTTGTAGCAGATCTATATGTCATTTGCACATTTTGGCAACCTCCCAAACATCACCGGAGACATATCATGCATTACTCATGTGGTGGTAACCAACATACTTTTATTATTATCATATTGGAAAGAACTGTATTCATTTTATAAGGTAAAAAACATACTGTGATCTGACTGTGATTCAGAGAGGGAAATAATGTAACAAATGTCCTTCAAAGTCTAGTATCTTCATATAAATGAAGAATGTAGAAGCTGCAAGCTAAGGGGCACATTGAAGTCAAAGTAGAAGAGAGTCTCACATGGCCGTTTTAATTTGATAATGTTTTTGCTTCTTAATTCATCCCATCTAATTACACAAAAGCCCATTCATTTCACATTGCTCTTGGCTCGTGGGGATTTTCTAGAAAATTGCAAGAAACACTCCACAGCTGTGTGGATCTTGATATTATTATTCTTCAGCTCTTCCGCAGCGCTGGTGTTGAACTGAATGCAGAGAATGCAGTGTGAAGAGATGTTTAGGTGTGAAAGGCTTACAAGGATTCTTCCCAGCTTTCTTACAGTTTGATGTGTGTCCAGCACGGCTGGCATTCCCGAGGCTAAATGCTGGCATTGCCATACCAACCGTTAACATTAACAAAAGAGCTGGGATAATTTAAAGACAACTTTTTTAGTCTTTCCCACATTCACTCACTCCCTCTTTCTCTATCCATCTTTGAATTCTTTATGTTTTAGTCCGTTCTCTCCTTTGTTCTCTATTTTGAAAACCAGTTTTCATTTTTCACTGTTAAATGTTTCCTTATGTTGAGTAAGGCCCACAGGGATTGTTTCTCTTTCACCAAAACACTGTTGACATTTTTAATATTGACTCTTATCACAGAACCTTTTGCATAAATAGCACCTCACATTATAAAAAAAAAAAAAGGAATTGAGTATGGTAATGAGCTTGAAAAACATCTCCTTTGTTGAATTATTGAGTAGTATGGGTGAAAGCATTCTTGCTTGCTTCTAGTGCTGAACATAAAACCTGTTATAGTGCATTTATCAATATAAAACAACAGCATTAATAGATTAGTTATCAGCCTTAAAAGGAGCAAATTGCATTCAGAGCAGATCTGGGATGGAATAAAATTCATGTCAGTTCAGATTTTAAAGGACCAATGTCTAGGATTTGGCATATATATGGCATCTAGTGGTTAAGTTGCAGATTGCAACCATTTGATACAGCTCAGCCTTCCAAGCGTGTAGGAGAAACTAAAGTGGCCGCAAACTTTTTCCGTTCTGCGCTTTTGTAGAAACATAGCGGTTCAACATAGTGGCCTCCTTAGAAGATGATCTACTTCCTCTGAAGATAAAAGCAGCTCATTCTAAGGTAACAAAAACACAATAATTCTCATTTTCAGGTGATTATACACTAATGAAAACATAACTTGTATTCAGTTTCTACCAATAAATCCTTCTAAATGTTACACACTGGACCTTTAAGGTCATGATATACCCACAATTTTAAAGTGAGAAGTTTTACCTACATCAACATTGACATTTTTCATGATAATGTAGTGATTATCTAGCGATGAGTGTTGAGATGATAAAATATATAAACATACAAATTCCAAAGCTTTAGTAAGAACAAGGATCATATTCTGGTCATTGAGTTCAGCACATTACTTCATAGCAGGGTTGGGTGTGTATTAATACTTGTCACGAGAACGTTGTTGTCTTGAGAGTGAATGCTCTGTCTACATCAACCGAACTTATGTTTATAATGTTTACAATTGGAAGTCATTTAATTGAAATGGACTCACATCAGCTCTGTTCTGCTTTCTGTTTGTCTGGTCAAAGTGTCTTCTGAACGTGTTGTCAAACCAAATAAACAGCACAGTGAGGTGTGACCCTGTTATTGTCTGTTAGATGTAAAAACAGGCTAACATTAACCTCTACTGAGTCAGCACATCTGTGTTGTCTCTGGGGACAGAGAGAGTGTATGAGTGTGTATGGTAGAGCTTTTGTTTGTGTCTGTTCATTTTCATTTTATTTTCATCCAGTTCCATCCATTTCTTTATTGCATGCCATGTATATGTTTTCATGTTTCATTTGGGTGTGTGATATCTGTAGGTTCTGTGTGCTATCATTATCATTTCTTTCACCCTGTTGCATTGTTCTATCCATGTCTGTATTTGTGTGTGTGTGTGTGTGTGTGTGTGTGTGTGTGTGTGTGTCCAGATGAGGAGTTTTCAGGCTATAGCTGCCTACATAGATGTCCTTATGGAGGTATTGTAGATAATAAATCTGGGCATCAACCAGCTGCAGAAAGGCTAATTAAAGCGATACTTTGAAGAATTTATGGACTGTTACACATTCTTCATCAGACTCTTGTCACATGGTTTGGGGAAAGAACATATATTTGAGTTTATCTGAGTTTTCCCTGAGTTTACCCTGTTAGCTACCCAATTCCCAATTGGATATTTAGTCATATTAACATATGGACAAACATAGCCAGAGTGTCTGTTTCCTTCTAGTCTTGCGATACGATCGGTGATCTGTGCACTTACTGATCATCTTGCATTTCTAAATGGCGGCGAGAATGCCGGTAACAGAGGAGATACAGTTAATCACATTGTAACACAAAGAGAGCGTTTTAAAACATTAGAAGTGGATTTTCTTAGTTTTACATACTCCCCATAACATGAGTCATCTCCATTTTTGATACTACAAGAGCATAACAAAATTTTAGCTTGGTACACAAGTTATAGGAAAATTCACTGTGGGTATTCATGAGCCCACAAAAAATAAACCCTAATTGTTTAAGTGCTTGCTCGTGGTGGGGACTGTTGGATCTCTGTAAATAGTTTTATAAGAACTACAGTTTAGACCTGTTCTTTTTGAAAAGTATCCCGAGATAACATTTGTTAGGAATTGGCCCTTCTCTGATAAGAAAATTGTCCCAGGTCCTAGGTGGCGATAGTGGAGCTTTAGACTCAGTCTTGTCCCCCCCCCACACCATGTAAAAATTGCTTATTGTGAAGAATAATCCACTAAAATTCAAAATATCAAGGTATCTGTGTGTCTCTTAACCCACTGTAGCTTTGCCCAAGCAGCAGTGTGCCCTCTGTCTCCTCTCAGCTGTGCTCGTAGGGGCGAGAAAGACAAAACCAGTTTCCATGTTTTACATACTTACTGCTACAACTGATAATCTTTTGCTCACATCCCAGTGAGGAATGATTGAACTCTCAACAACATTATACTCTGTTCTGAAAGGTGATTTATTTATTTTTTTTCTGATAAGGAGGCATCATGACAGCATTATCATGTAATATCAAAACCTCAGGGTTTAGAAAGTTTTGCTCTGTAGAAATCTTTCACTTTGAGTATAAACTGTTCCTCCACTGGGACGAGCAGCAGCGCAGCCACATTAGCAATAGCAGCAGTTTGGCAAGTATGTAAAAAGGGGGATTTTATGAGTCAGATTTAGATATATTCAAAGTGTTGGTTAATTTAGTTTTTAAAAGTTTTCAGAAACCTAGCTCCTCAGAAAATCCCTTTGACATTGACTGTATTAACATAAAGCTACTACCAACTGACATCAAATGCCTCTTAGTTGCCATCCATATAATCCCAGCTGTAACAGGTTCGCCATTAACTCTGCATCTCTTATGTATCCTTCAGTGTTGGTTGGAAGTCTTAGCTCACTAATCCTTCGTTCTGTTCTTTGTTCTTTGTTCTCCTCTCATATACTGTGGAATTTCTCTAGGTAAGTTTTGTCCTTGAGTAGGATGGAAAGTCAAAGGAGGCAATGATGTACTGCTGCTGACAGATTTAATCACTGATTCATTTATTCATGCATTATGGAGGAATTTATGAAGGCATTAAGTCATTCATCAATGCATTCATTACTGCCTTCATTCATTTAGAAGCCTGTGGTTGCATTGTACGTTTAGCCTTGACTGTGTCCATTTATGATGCTAAATTGTTAAAAATCATTGTTGTGTAAAAATCAGAGCCAAATAAGACAATCATTTTATTTATTTTTTCCCCGCCCTCATCATTTTGTTTTGAAAAGCCACTTAGTTGAACCCTGACAGTACTGCCTCCATCTATAAACAGACATTCTTTTCTCTCAGCATGTTGTAATATGGGCGTCCTCATTGCCTCCTCTATGACCTGAAGCCATTGTAACGGTTTCCTCCTGGGAATATTGCAACATCACAGTATCCCAAATAAAATAGGAATATTCCAGTTATTAAATTAATTAATTAAATTGCCTTACTTTAATGATATTTTCACACTGGTATGGGACGGGAGCAAAGGAAGAAACAGGAAGTGAAAGGATACACGTTGTTACAGCTTTTTTTCTTACATTCTTCCATCTCTGAAATTTGACCTCCTCCTCTTCCTCATCTCAGGCTATGACTTTGCGGCTGTGTTGGAGTGGTTTGCTGAGAGAGTGGACAGGATCATATTATTGTTTGACGCCCACAAACTGGACATCTCGGACGAGTTCTCAGAGGTTATAAAGGCCCTGAAGAACCATGAGGACAAGATCAGGTACAGTAAGGTTGCTTGATTTACAGACATATCCAATTCTAGACAACATAGACATGAATAGTTGTTCTCTTTGTACCTAATAGGATGTTCGTGCAGTGATGCTGTTAGCAGCTCTTTGCCTCAACACAAATCAGTCAACATCAACGCTCGTTCTCTTGTGTTGTTTTTTCCCAGAGTTGTGCTGAACAAGGCTGACCAGATAGAAACCCAGCAGCTGATGAGGGTGTATGGTGCCCTGATGTGGTCACTGGGGAAAATAGTCAACACCCCTGAGGTATATATACCTATATTTAATATTTAATATTTAATATTTAAAAAAACAAAAAACAATGGACTTTAAGGTTTAAAGCTTTCCACCATCTTGTTTGGTGTTTCTAACCAGAAAATCCAGTTTGGGCAGAAGGTCAGAAGGTAGAGCTGAGATAGGCAGAGCAGTGCAGTTGTGTGTACATCCATGAAACCTCAATGCATTTGATACTGAATAAAAATATCAATGAAAATGCAATTCAAAGATACCTGAACACTGGAACACAGCTCCCTCAGGCCTTAGTGGTAAAATTTAAACACCGACCTGGTCCTCCTCAGGCTCGATGTGGATAAAATGCACCTCTCTTCATACCTTGATATTGTCTTCAGTCCCAAAATTGTGGAAAAACTTGTGGTTTGGGGTTTTCCCTTAGATAGAAACTACTCTAGTTGTCATCTAATGGCCCATTATATGCCCCATTTATATTACTCCATATGTATTATTGGTTATGTACTAACAAACTAATCAATGTGGTCACTCAAAAATGAGGTGCTATTAGCTGTCTGTTGATTTTCTTTCTCCATCACCCTGATAGGTAATCCGCGTCTACATCGGTTCATTCTGGTCCCACCCTCTGTTGATTCCAGACAACAGGAAGCTGTTTGAAGCAGAAGAGCAGGACTTATTTAAGGACATTCAGTCTTTACCGAGAAATGCAGCGCTTAGAAAACTCAACGATCTGATCAAGAGGGCAAGACTAGCCAAGGTAAGGTACAAGTGGAAGACATAGACACAACCACTCAATGATGGAGAATATGGTTATGTGACAGATGTAGCTAACAGTTGGAAGAGGGTGGTGTTGGTTTTTCCTTTTAAAATATCTATACCCAATGCCCATCTTCCACAGAAGGATTATCAGTCTGGTAGTATTCCACATACTGATTTACAATCATTTTCTAGGTGTGTCTCTGTGTGTGCTTCCTATTTGTGTTCGCCCCTCATTTGTTAACTCCCCACCCCGTCCAGCTGTTAACCTTGACAGAATAAGCTTGTCGCTGCCACAGAACCAGTAGAACCAGACTAATTCTCTAGGCTATTCTCCTCTGAGTGAATTGTTTCCTGTTTCCTCTCTGGACAGGAAGTAAGGTATAAGAGGCAACAGTCTGCTGTCTGTTGTAGTTGGAGGAAACAGAGGATGCAAACACTCAAACATACACACACACACACACACACACACACACAGATTTATCAGACTGAGAGTTGAGCACTGTTTTCCTGTTTGACAGCTGATAGAGTGTGAGAGCGTGTGTGTGTGTGTGTGTGTGTGTGTGTGTGTGTGTGTGTGTGTGTGTGTGTGTGTGTGTTTGTGTTTGTGTCTGTGGGTTTCGTGATGAACTTCAAGGACACAAGGTGGATTCAGGGAAAAACATTTATATCACCACAGCAACCTAACAAATATGGGTTTTCCCTTCACTTTTGCCATGTTTAGTTTGTGTTGAATATTAAAAACAAATGTCAACAAAGGTAATTTGAGAGATTTACTGAGATATTTACTGTATGACTAATGTGGTTAAAGGCGTGTTAAGTGTCCCTAGACTCCAGGCTTGCAACAGTCGGTTACTTATGATATTACATTTGAGCAATGTATCAAAAGTTCTTCTGAAAGTGAACTTGCTTAATCTTAAATTAGAGATTTGAGATAAAGATGTTCTTCATCAGTCCTTCATAGTTTGTTGAAAACTGTATTTTTGCTACATTAGTGCAGATATGTGTTTATTTGTGTATATGTTGTTGTAAATAATTTAGGGTCCCTATTTAAATCTTCCTGAATATACATTTAATCAACAGCTGTCACTGCATGTATGACATCCAATAAGACCTAATGGGTGAGCCTTTATTGTCTCATCTGTCTCAATCCTTAATACTTTCATCAAACCCGGTTTTACTATTAATGACATTTATTCTGCTATATACAGTTACCTCTCTACATAGTAGTTGCATTTGGTGGTGGGGTCAGCCATTTCCATGCTAGATTCAAAAGGCTTCAATGGGCTTCACAGGAAATTATGCATGCATGTGGTGGACAAAATTTGGAAGGCAAGAGCATATGTTATGTAATCCGCAACAGCAGAACAGCTGGTCCCAGGCATTGTCAGGAGGAAAGATTATCTTGTCCTCTTCTGTTGTATTCCTGACAGCGTAGCTTATTTACTGCCCCCGGTGGTCAATAAACATGTCATTTCAAAAGTAACTCTGAAATTTAAATTAGTAAGACTTTCTTAGCATTACCACCAGTAACCACAAGTGTCGCCAAATCAACTGAACAGAACTGAAATCTTGACTACATCTTTCACTCTCACAATGCAGGTCCATGCCTACATCATCAGCTCACTGAAGAAAGAGATGCCCTCAGTGTTTGGGAAGGAGAACAAGAAGAAAGAACTGATCGGCAGTCTGGGAGATATTTACAAACGCATTGAGAGAGAGCATCAGATATCACCTGGAGATTTTCCTAGTCTTAAGAAGATGCAGGTAAACAGGAAAGAGCAAAGGAATGTAGATTTATATATAGAGGTTTTGATAGATAAGACCTGAACTTGAGATGTGGTTGTTTTTGTTTTTTGTGTTATCTCTATCAGGACCAACTCCAAGCTCAGGATCTCAACAAATTCCAGCCTCTGAAACCCAAACTCCTCGAGGCGGTGGACGACATGCTGGCCAACGACATCGCTGGCTTAATGGTCCTGGTCCGCCAAGAAGAAAACCAGCGTCCCAACCCAGTTGTGAAGGGCGGCGCGTTTGACGGAACTTTGGACGGCCCGTTTGGCCACGGGTACGGCGAAGGAGCTGGGGAAGGTATCGACGAGGCAGAGTGGGTCGTCGCCCGTGACAAACCTGCTTATGATGAGATTTTCTACACGTTATCTCCCGTCAACGGGAAGGTGACGGGGGCCAACGCCAAGAGGGAGATGGTGAAGTCAAAACTGCCCAATACAGTGCTGGGAAAGATCTGGAAGCTGGCAGATATCGATAAGGATGGGATGCTTGATGATGAGGAGTTTGCGTTGGCCAATCACCTGATTAAAGTGAAACTGGAGGGACATGAACTACCATCGGATCTGCCTGCACACCTGGTGCCGCCTTCCAAGAGGAAAATACCTGAGTAAATGTAAGATTACACTCGCCCCTATCCCTAAAACCTGTAAGTAGAACCTCCCCCTTTCACATCCCACTTAAAATAGAAATATTCCTGTAGCATTATAGCAAAAACTAAATTAGACCCCATTTCCATCTGCCAGTCCCTCTCTGCTGCTGTCACCCTCACATCTACAGTCTTTCCCTCCCCTCAAGAGGCCAATATATTAGAGTAAAATATTAAGTTACATTCAGAAAAAAAGTTAGGGAATGCTAAGTGGCTGATTCCATGCTTTTACCAGGGTAGAAAAACTGGATCTTGACAAGTTCTTTGAATGACGTCAAGTATTTAGCCCAGTGTCCTCCTTTGTATTAAGGGTGAGATATGTTAGATAAAGTAATTAGTAAAGAAACTAAAACAAAACACACTGGAATACAGCAAAATGTGAGTTGATCCAAGCTACTGGAAGAAAAGGAGATGCAACAATGTGAAGACAAAAAGTGAAGAAAGAAACTTTTCTTCAAAAGGTCATTTTGGGAAAAAGACTGGGATATAAAAAAGTAAATAAACTGCCTTCTCCCCCTTTATAACTTTATCTATAATAGAAACTATTATCATATTGACTGCAGTTCTCCACCCAACTTGCAAAACATTTCACAGTTCTTGTATCTCGAGGTTTTTTTGTCCCCTGGCACGGCTGAGTATTCTGGCCTTTGTTTCATGGCGACATATAACAAACAGCTACAAAGACTTCCTGGCAAGCAGCGGGAGAATACACACAAACACACAAATGTGTAGAAGCACACACACAGAAAATTAACATGAGTTCTGGTAACATGGTTTCTAACCAGAGCAGTTCACAGTCCAACACCTCCTCTTACCTTAAAAAGAAAATGGCCCTACATCATCTTTTTAAAACAATAAATGTGATATACAGGTGTGTGTGTGTGTGTGTGTGTGTGTGTGTGTGTGTGTGTGTGTGTGTGTGTGTGTGTGTGTGTGTGTGTGTGTGTGTGTGTGTGTGTGTGTGTGTGTGTGTGTGTGTGTGTGTGTGTGTGTGTGTGTGTGTGGTGAGTTTATGACATCATTTACTGTAGCATCTGAATTGACCTTCTGCGATGAAGGAGGAAAATGTTTCTCTAATGGGGAAACAAGCACATGAGAAACTGAGGATGAGGATTTTTACATAGTTCTAAATATCATTAACATGTTTGGAAATACTGTGACTGTAATATGAAACCATATAATGGGTATTGTTTGGACACATGAGTGTGCAGACATTCTCAGTATAAATGTATTGTAAGGACTTTGAATGTTGAATGTGCAGACGTTCACGGTTCTGTGTGGGCACATCCTGACTGTTGTATGTACACATACGACCACATGTATCAGTGTTATTATTTGTAACATATATGTTTAAATCTTAAGCATTACACAGGTTACTGATCCAGGAGTTTTCCAGTGGGTTATTAATTGAAAATCGGATGAATCCATTATTGTTTACCATCTGAAAGTTGTCTAACCCGGCAGTCAAGAGAGTGAACACAGCTTATTTTGTGGTAACAAAACACTAATCGACACATTTTTCAGATGTTTGTTTTTGGCTTTCCATTCACGTGTTTTAAATTGTATACATGTAATAAATGTAATCTCTCTGTACAATGTTTCTGATTTATGGTAGCGATATGCCAGTATGTATGTGTGTGTATATATACTTCACGTTTGACCATGTTTGTTGTTGTGAGAGTTGCTGATCATAAGATGAAACTAAACATACTAAATTTGGGTTCCCATATGATAAGAAATGTTCACTATATGTTTTATGACTGAGACAATATTCACCCAGCTTGAGCCACAGAATTGAAATATGTCCAGTTTTTGTGCCCCTCCCTGTTCATCTCTGTGCCGTTACTGTGAATCTACTGTACATTAAAAGACTGTTCGCATTCCACAAACACAGATTGGGAGATCAGCCACTTCCATCTCTGGGTGCTTTATGCATCACTACTATCTTACATTTCACAGGCGAGCCACAACAGACCAACGGAATAAATGTTAAAAGCATGCTTGTCGAAAGTGGATTCTCTGCAAAACAAAGTCCTTCAGATTCACAAATTGTTTTCATACCCTGACAGATTGCAACATGACGTCCTGTGTACTGGTAAATACACTGGCGTAATGGTATTTTTTCTGTTTTAAGATGTTTATGTATTGCAAAATCTGTACTTCACTGCTTTTCTGTCGACATAAACAATAGTCCAAAAGTGTAATAAAGATTCATTTACTCTGCCTTCTTTTTCCCTGGGTTTTGTTTATTTTATTTTCAGAAGAAAAAGAAACATACATTTGTATTTGAAGAAAATCATGCTGTTGATACACTACAGTAGATTTTTCTTGATTAAACTCAGAACCATTATGCAGTTAACAGTTAAGTAGATCTCAAGATTTATAGTTTGAGAGTTTGTGTTTTCCACTCTAATATGATCATATCTTGTCTGACAAACATATACTAACTGATTAATGAGGAAAGATTTGAAAATTGGATTATATAGTAAATTATTTCAATAAAATCAGAGCAAACTCCCAATGGAAGCCTAAACGGTCTGTCTGAAATAATTTATCTGAGATTCATGCTGAACAACTTTACTGTTATCAGAAATGTAGGGAGCGAATCAGCAAAACATGTACAGAAAGGACTTTAATTTCATAAAAGCATTCAGTCATGCTTTTTCTTTCACTAAAAGACACAAACACATCAGTTTTATGCCACTTATATACTGTCTTTCTGCAAAGAGGGGAGCTTAATCCTCTGTGTCCCTAAATAAAACTAAAAACAAGCAACAAAACAACAATAGAGCTGATAGACCCTTTAAAATATATATACATGTATATACATGAATAGCAGATTTCCACATTAATTATCAAGAGTCACTGACATTGACTATAACATGACATGAACTAAAAATGACAGGAAACATAGCATGAAATATTAGTTCGACATCCTAGACATTATTGTATTATCTAGGGACTTCCGTGTGTGTGTGTGTGTGTGACAGGAAGTCAATGCATTCCCTCTGACTTAAGACCTCATGAACATATACAGATATAAGCACGCACACACACACACACACACACACACACCCCGTATGTAGGGAAGATCCAGCACTCTCTCCTCTCACACAGGAAGTTGTGTTCTTGTCCTTCATTTCCTGTCTGTCCCACCTTGACCTTCACACACACACACACACACACACACACACACAGACACACACCAACACCCACATCCTTCATCATATATGAAAGTCAGTGTTTTTATTGTATGCTGATCAGTCTTTGTATTTGTTTCGTCTATCTTGAAGGGCACGCAGGTTTTATGATACAAATAATGAATAACAAAGACTTTGATGGTGTGTGTGTGTGTGTGTGTGTGTGTGTGTGTGTGTGTGTGTGTGTGTGTGAGCATTGTAATGGCCAATGTCGTAAACTGTCTCTAGATCATAAAACAGAAATAAACTAAAATTAAGTAAGTGATAGGAAAACAACAGGACAACTATTTTAAGTAGAGTATTTTAGTCTTTCCTGGAAAATGTGGAAAAATTAGACAGAAAGAGCGAGAGAGCGGAAACACACTAGAGAGAAAGAGGCCGACAGAGAGAGGAAAAATAGTTTAGAGGCAGAGACAGCTGAAAGGTTTTGTCTCTGGTTTTGGATGGTATCTTATCTTTTCAGGAGAAAAACAGTATATCTTGAACTGGTTTGTCAAATGTGTTACGTCTGTCAACAGTGATATACGAACGTGTGTGTTTTTGCGTGCAGTGAATGTGTGATAGATGTGTGTGTTTGTCTGGTGGACAGGGGAAGCTATAGATCAGGATTAACCGTATACACCCAGAAACATGAGGGAACTGGTATCTCAGAGCACTGAGTTTGGATGGTGCTCTCAAACACAGACACACATTGTACATGTTACTGCTATGATATAAAAGCAAGCTAAAATCATCCTGCAGCCAAAGGTTAAAAAAAGATTTAAATTTAATTAAATAACCTTAACTCAAAGTCCACTAATGGATCAGTTGTCAGGGAGGAGAGAAAAAGAAAAAGTGATTAACAAACTGACTGATTGGATTATATTAAAACATCCTACATAAAATGTTTTACATAAAGCATTGGGAATATAATATACACTTAACAGTCTGTCAGAAGGCATTCATTATCATAATTATGTGATTATGTTTCTTTTTATATCATATACATATCAAATGACATTGTATGTAATATGTGACTTGAGTATTTCTTTTGCTCTAATTTTCTTTTCAATTGATCTCTGTCTGTTTCCTGCCTGTGCAATAAAGTCTTGACCTCTTGACAATAAAGGCCTGTACATAGACATATAATACATAGACATATAAATATAGACGCTGCATTGGCCTCTCCGGCGTGTTGCTGGGATACGTCAATGTCTCTGCCATATTGGACCATGCAAGACAGGCCTGTAAGACAATACAAGTAAACCTGGAGGCTGCATTTAACATTCCTCATTTTCATATTTATTCAACAAATTCATATTTAGGATTATGATATATGTGGAGTATATCATAAATATAGAATTATTTAATTGATTGAATTCTACTCTATGAATATCACATACCTTTGAAAAAAAAAATGACTCAGTGAAATCACCTGAGAAATGTTAACATTCGTCGGCTCCTTGGTTTACTTGTATTTGTTTACAGGCCAGCTATTATATCCATCTATGTTCTCTCCAAAGCCACAAGACTAAAAACCAGAAATAAATGCTTCAGTTTCCCATTGGAAAGGGCTGGCAATGAAAAGCAGTGAAAATAATCTAAACATTGCGTACACTTATGTCCAGGTGTGTAGGATTTAGTGGCGTCTAGCAATGTAATTGCCGACTGCAACGCCCTCACTTCACTCTCCCCACACTATGGTGGCCTGGAAACGCGAAAAACACGAATGTCCCTATCTAGAACCAGTGTTTGTTTTTCCCGCTTTGGGATTCTTTTAGGTGGATAAAATACATCTTGTTGCTGCCCCCACCCACAGAGGTACATTACTTAACTTCCATGCCGTGACTCCTGTCTGCTTCTCCAAACTGGAATGTGCTGACCACTGTCTGACTTCCAAAAACCTGAATTATCCCTTTAAGCTAAATGTGGCTTTTTTCCTCAGTTCCTCCAGTTATGTTCATTTCTAAAGCACTGCAGTCTGACCTGAGAAGACTTACAGACAGACACTTCCTGATTTATCCCCACTGTTAAGGCAGCCCGACCAACCAAAAAGAGGACAACATAATCCCTGACTAGCTTCCCACTAACAAACACTGCCAATTTTATTTGTTAGAACACACAACCAAACCGCCCTCTGGGGGAGAGTGAACCTGGCTCAAACCAGAGTAGTTCACTGACACATCCACTTGTGACTCTCTGAGTCACAGCTCATCGCTGCTTCGATGCATGGTGCTTGAGGGTGGAGTGGTCACAAGGTCGACCGAGTGGTGACACCCTCCTGTTAATTGCCCTCTGTCTCCATGGTGGCAGAGAGTGTGAGTGCAGGACATGATAACAAACAAAGTACAAATTGAAAGAGAAATTAGAGGCAGAGGCATTGTCTAACTTAGAAATTTGTTAATGCCAAAAGAGGATAAGATATAATTCACTTGCACTCAGTATAGGTGACTATACTTACGTTTCAACAATGACAACCCAATTGTTCTTATTTCCAGGGTTCATTGAATCAATCCTCATTAACTTACTTTTATTCATGATTTTTAAAGTAATCAAGTTAAAAGTGAAAGATGTTATATTTTGTTACAGGTAAGTATTAATCTGGTAATTAGTGATAATCATAAAGGAAAATGTCTGAAATCAGATCCTGGTACAAACTATCAAAAATAAAGACAATGAATGACATGCTGTTTGAACTGGTGTCAGGTCAGCTAGCTCTGCCTTGTTTATATCCTGTGACTGCAGTGTGTTAAATGTCTGTGTGTGTGCGTTACCCCAAGTCCTGTTGGCCATTCCTTGAACCTCTTCCTGGCTAAAACAGAGGCCATGGACGAGGTCAACATCCTGTGAAAACGCACACACACCTAAACACACATTCATGATGCGTGGTTCATTTATTTAAATGCCACAATCTCAATCTCTTGTGGCTTTTGAGACAAACAAGCCTGTCCTTTGACCTTTAAAGTAACAAGCATCATTGTTCTGATACCAGGAAACATTTCAGAAATATACCAACTTCTGACCTGAGAGTAATTTTAACCAAACTGTTAACACAGTTATGTTATGATTCTATTTCAGACTCCTAAGGTGGAAAAATAAAGTTCATTGTTGTGTTAAAGTAAGATTTTCTTTCCATAAAGTAACACTCAACATCTCATCATACGCAGTCAGTTCTGATTGGTGCTGGTTAGACTGTTATTGTCCTAATCGCTTTTTTTAGTTGCTCTAAAGTCTCCTGTCTTTGTGGATATAGTATCTCTGGGAAAGAAAACAACATTCTTATTGCACAGTATGATAAGACAACATATCACACTATTGTGGTCTGATATTTCCTCTAATGTCTAATGGTTTCCACCTGAAAGACCTGACAGTTAACTTTCAGGATGTGGCTGTATGAGAATGAGCTTTTTTCTTTCTTGATATTGTTGAAAAATAAGACACACCTCAGATATTTGTATACTCTCACGAGGCATTTTTTTCCCTTGACATTATCGGAAGCCCCCTGACAGTCACTCTGCACCGGTTCAAGAAGTTCATTTTATCGTCATCCATCCATGTTCCTGTCTATTTTACATGTGATGTGAGTGGAAGTGTGTGAGCATGGCACGCAGGAACAGAGTTTTCATCATTGTTATGTAAGAGTTGTCTGAATGAGGAATTCTCTGATACGTTATCAGGGAACGGTATGTTTTTTAGGGAGAACAGGCACCAGACTGACTCAGCTGTCGACAGCAGAACTCATTTTTTAGGCGTGGACAGTAACTAGTCGTCGCTATTCTTGCTGAGTTTGATTATTATGAGTACAGTGAGTACAGTGAGTTCCAAGGTACCATTTTGAGTACATTTTAAAATCATTTTCTGGTGTCACTTATGTAGATTTTAAGGCATCTAAAGACAGGAATCAAACAGTTTACTGCAGTTGCTGCTGTTCTGGCACCATCAGATTTTCCTTTTGAGTTTTACTTTTTCCAGATATTTCAGAAAGCGTCCTGCACCTGTTGCAGAGGAACTTTATTTTGAAATTATAACTGCCAGGATGCTACAGCAGCCCTTTTATTGGTGATCACATCTAACGATAAAGTCTTCCAGTAGTTTCCAACTCAAATAATCTTACTCACACTTGATTAATTCCCTATCAATTTAGTCTTTACATGCTGAGTGATGCCAAGTAGTACAAGTATTTGTCAAAGATTAAATTAAGCCATTTTAGTTCTTCCCATGTACTGAAATGTTGTGCACTCATACTACAGGACATCTACAGCTTTTTGTGTCATTCCACTTCTTCCAGATCCGGATTCACCTCTGGATCACATCAATTCCAGCTCCGCTTGTGACTGAAACCTGCTTTTGTTGAATTTTTATAGCCTGATAAATGGACATTTTATCTTGCTTTGTTGTCTGTTTGTGTAAAGGCTGAGGATTTTCCAGCAGGCAGGGCAGTTGTCCCGGAGAGGCAGCATGCTGATGGAAAACGGAGGGAACACTGTATCACTTGATGAATGAGCGTCTGTTATCTGAACTGGTCAAAAGCCAGGATGAGGAGAGGATGTGCAGAGAGGAGACAGTGGTTATTGTTTGCTAAACATTTTCCTTTTTAACAGACAGACAGGATGCATTCTCAGAAAATGCAAAGCTTAAATATAAACACACTGGTAATAAAAGAAATAGTCATAGCAAAAACGACACAAGCACGTTCAAGCTCTCTGGCTTCTGCTCATTCCTGTGTAGAAATAATTTCCCTTCCTAATTTCCAAAAGGATCACTGTGGAATCCATATCTGCAACACCCTCATCTTCACATTTCTGGGAGTGAAAATATCTGACACTCTATGATCAGATCAGCCTAATCTATTGTCCTTTCAGGTGTTAAACTTAACACAAATACAGTTACAGATCATTAAAAGCTGTGAATGAACACAGAGAAACACAGCAAAGATTAGATTCCTCTTCCAGTCACTCTCCTCTTTATGACTCTGCTGCCACCCAGTGGTCACTCACTGACTGCAACACAAGTAAATCAAATACCATAAAATGTGTTCTTTATATATGTAGTCATATTAGGACACATTTGAATGTCTTCAATTACACTTTTTTTTTACACAATTGTATACCTTTATTCATCTGTTGATTTTACTTTAATTGGTAAAAAAAATACATAAAATAATTGAAGCTCTCCTTCCAAGAAAAAACTATAACCTTTTAAAAACAATTGTTAAATATGTTGTTTCATTTAAGTTGAAAATTGTAATATCATCTCATCTGTGTTTACCATTAACCTCTAAGCTTTTCTTTTTTTATTCCCTGAAATAAGAATCACTTAATGTATTCTATACTTTCTCACTGAATGAGACTGTGTGTCTTGTTTACGTCTGACCTTAAGGTCATTGGTATTTGGTATTACTCATATCCCGGTTGTACATATTTTCTGTGGTGAATTTTGTTAGGTGGCATAGTTGGTTGTTTACATTCCCTCAGTCTCCCACCAGTATCCACAGTTGCACATGTTATAACCAGGGCCATATCAACCTACAATGTAGGCTATATTGCCTTTCAAATGATGTTGAGCAGCACAAGCTTTCCAGGTGATTTCTTTATTCTGTGTTCTACTGATATATGAGTGCTTTCTTTCACGATTTAAGGATATAAGGAAGACTACTACTGAAAAGTTAGATGGATTTATTTGGCCAATTAGTTTTGTTTTCTGATGAATTTGGCCAGAAGTTTGCTGAGGTCACTTAAATCAGAAAATAATCAAGGTTAAAATGAGCTAATTTGAACTGTGATGTTGGCAAATAACGCCCTCCTCTACCCACCACCCCTCCACCGCAACACCTTCATTTGTAAGACTTTCTTTCCATGTCACTCTTTCCAAAACCAAACCTGACCTTACTCAAGTGATGTCATTTGAGGAAATGTCCTAATCATCGTGCCGAATCCTTCCACAGAAACCTTTATACAGCGTTCATTTGTACGACTTCCAAACTTTCCCTTTGAGAATATTTGCCGGGTTTGAATTTGACACAACATGAAATTATTTAAGGTTGTTTTCTGTTCATGTAAAATTTTTATCTTTGGTCACAAGGTCCTGCTTGTAGTTATTTTCCAGCAGTTTATATTTGTAATGAAGCAGTTTTGTGGCTTCCATATACAGTACATACTAAATCATGTCTTTGCTTATATAAGGTATAAATATATAATATGTCACATTTTTACTCTACTGGTTTTCACACGTCCAAGTGATTGCATTTTGTACCCCTTCCTCTGTTACAAACCACAGGTTTCAGTTTGAGTTAGCAGAGGGTGGATTTCTGCAAGTCAGCCTCCGGGGTTTTGTGTTTGTGTATGTTAATATTCTGTTCTCACTTGTCTGCCTATAATCAGTGAGTCATATACGACTTTTACCTTTACCTTATTTACTCTAGTGGTTATTTATCTTAGGTCATTTGTATTGAGCTATCTTTGAGTTTTAGAGCCTGGAGCACTTTTATCTTTTGTCTTTATCCTTTATCATGTTTGTATGTTTGTCTATTGTCTGAGTTGTTTGTTCTTTTTATATTTTTGTCGAGAGTCTTGTCTTTGACTGCTAATCTTCCTGTGGTTACGAATAAAGTACCCTTGAACCTTTACTTCTAGTTTAACCAGATAAATACATTTATTTTTTTCCGCTTAATATTTAGTACCAGATGCAACTTCGTACATGTATATTCCATACTGTGAAATCTAAATACACATTGCAAGACACAGTAACAAACACAGGATATTACTCACCTTAAATGCAACATATTGTAGGAATGCACAAACATCCACATCTGTACTGAGCTAACAGGTCAGACACAGATCAATCAGGCTTAGTCCACAGTATGAATAGAAGTGGACGTATAATCACTATACTAAACTGAGAATTAAAGTATTAGCCATACAATTATGTAGTGAAGTGACTGGATGATCTGACATTCAGGAAGTCATTTCTTTCATAAATGAACCAACTTTCATTATGATCTACTCTTTTTAGATAATTTGAAAATGTTTTCACTTATTTACATACTATGTTCTAAATTATGTGTGTTATTATGTGGTTAAAATATTTTTACTATTCTTAGTACACACAATTCAGAGTGTGTGGTTACGGTGTTGCTAGGGGCCTTTCACATCTCTATCCCATCATTTCCTGTTCTCTCTTTATGAACATGAAATTATGAACTACACACACAAAACACACGTATGTAATATATACAGTAAAATGACATGCATATATACCCTTTACCCCCAAATCCCCACATACTTAAATTCAAGATTAAAAATCAAATAAAATATATATATTTATATATATTTATATAACACAGCAGTTTACTTGAGTGTGGACTAAACTGTGTATCTGAAGCTCTGTATATCTAGTGAATATGTTTGCACGATCCAAACAATTATTTCTCTTAAGTGAATCTTGGTTTATGATAAATTAATATTAAAATGTTACTGTGTGATGTTACTTTTGGCAGAGTTTAGGTGCATAAGTTGATCTTGAAAGCAGTGTTTTGGTTGCATTAGTTCATTTTGGATGTGAGCTTAACTGTTGCGCTGAGCTGCATGTTGGTAATGAGAACTGTGTGAAGAGTTTTGAGAAATGTGACTAAGCCATTGTATACAAACGCCTTACATTTTCTTTTAAATGTCTGTGAGATTCATGCATAAATGCAGCTTTTGTCTCACCAATGTTGCTGATTTGTTTTCCATTCACACAACAGAACATAGACCTGTGGACAGACAGTATTTTGCATTGCCCGTTGATGTAAGGCCGTTGAGTTTCAAAAAGATAGAAGAAGAAAGAAGATAATAAATAGCTCTTAACCTGTCCTACATTATCAGGTTACATGTTCACATAGATTATTTACGAGATAAAATAATTCCATTTTAAACCATATCCTTTAAAAAAAACCACATGAACCAGCAGCACTTAGAAGAAGTTTAAAACCACAGTGCATCTGCACGCTGCAAACCACACAACACACACACACACACACACACACACACACACACATAAAGTGTCTTCTATTTAATTTCTCCTCTCACCCACAACGTCCTCCGCCCCTCACTCTTCTTTTTTTGCTTTGGCCGCAGGGTTTATGCATGCTCTGTAGTTTCGGGTTATTTATTTTTTTATCTTGTCATGGAACCTGTTTTGCTACCAATGCTTTCAGCCACACACACACACACACACACACACACACACACACACACACACACACACACACACACACACACACACACACACACTCAGACTAGCAGCGCAATAAAAGTGAGGGGCTGTGAGTGAAGCAGACAGAAAGCAGACAGACACCTTTAAGACAACAAGACAGCCAGGCAGGTCAGATAGACAACAGACGCAATCAAGATGATGATGATGATGAAGAACCCCATCGTTCTGGTGACCTGTGTCTTACTTCTCTCGTCTCTCGCTGTCTTGGCATATCCAAGTAAGCTGCCTGCATTCCACTTGTTTAACTTGAGAATTTACTCTGTGTGTTTATTGGTTATTCTTGTTGTGTTTTCTTATTATTTGTTCAATATAAAATCTTTTCCGTTCTATTCTGAAGGCTGAGTCAACCCAATAAGGTTCCCACTGCGTCATTTCTGAGTGTGTTGGCGGAAAAAAAACCCTCTCAGTTTCTCATAAATTAAATTCATAAATTAAATTAACAGTCATTAAAAAACAAATAGAATAAATAAATATTAGTAAGAGCATTTAAATGATTTGTTTTTTCTCACTTTTGAATCATATCTGAATCAAACTGAACCACAGCCTTCTTCCGCAGGTTACAGCTGTGTCACATTTGTTCTCCAAAGGTTGCAAAGTGAAATGGGAAAAAAAGACAATTTTATGTTTATGTAATGGTTTTGTGTTGAATACCACTCAGCGTCTCTTTATGTCCATAACATTTCTGTTTCTTTCTCGGTTTTCTCAGACAGCTTTGGTCCAGATGAGTGCTGCTTTAAGTTCGCCAAGAGCCTGCCTAAGACGAAAGTGTCGAACTACAGATACACAGAAGGGCAGTGTCCAATGTCGGCTGTGATGTGAGTGTTTCATCTCTCGTTATTAAACTTCAACCTCACAAGTTCAGAATCACAACCAGAATCAACTTTATTGGCCTTCTTTGTTTAAATATACAAAAAATCTCGCTCTTAAAGATTCACGTATACACAAGTTGCTAAGCAAAGACAACAAAGATACATAAACTAAATTGTTTTATTTAAATATAAACTACAAATGGTATCAAATGGTAGGAAAGTTTTAATGAACAAGACCACACTATCTGTCACAAAAGAGTGATGCTGAAAATTACATCAACAATCTTTGTCTCTGTTTTAGTTTTATGATGAAGAAAGGTCGTCAATTCTGTGCCAACCCATCTGAGAACTGGGTTCAGGACATCATCAGCTTCATCCAAAATGATGGAGAGAACAGCTCCGGGTCCAACTAGCCCGACTCACCCAATGTTACGGTGTACCACACCTCAAATACTGAGCCAAGCGGAGGTGGTGGTGTAACAGTAACCCTTGATTTATCTTCATGACGTCCTCTATTTTTAAAGAGAATATTTTATTATAAGTTTATAAGTAAATGCAAAACCCCTAAAATTAGTGATTTTTATGATCTGTTCTTTTTTCTGTTTTAATTTGGATTTAAGTGATGTATTGGAAGATTACTATATTATTAAAAAACATACATGATTACATTTGTTTTCTCTTTGTTTTGATTTTACCTTGTGACCCAGACTTTGATCAGGAATAATTCAATTCCACATTGTTGTAGTGTCCTCATCCAACTCATACACATCAAACAAGTGAAACAACCACGTGAAGGTGGTTTCTGACAGAGAGAGCCCAACGGGAATTCAGATCTGCACCACAAAGCCAGGCACAAAAAGTTTGATTTAACTCTTTAGACGAGCATCAGTTGGCATTTGTTTTTAAAAAATAACATCACACTGCTTCTGCAGCCCTTCATTTGCAGTTTAGTGTGTGATGTCTCTCTGTGGCCAGCAGATGTTGCTTGTCTCTCTTTTTCACATTCTCCAAATGTTTCGTAGTGTCTTCTACAGCCAGGTTTTTATTGCCCTGGGTCGACTGCAGAAAAATGAGGAATTGTTTAATCTCATTTGTAATTCCACACTTGAGAACAGTAGCTCAGTGAAAACGGTGTTTGAAATATCTCAACTCTGTTTTTCATCAGCTAAACCATGGAGCTGTGTACCAAGTCAAATCTGACAACTATAAAACCCTCTCAGATGGCTTATTTCCAGGGTCAATTAAAAAATGAAACACACACAAGGAAAAAGTAAAGACACAGACTGTAGGTGCGGTGCAAGTGTATCTACTGGTGCTCGTACTTTGTTAGAGTTCCTCAACATTTCTTGAGAAAGTGACCTCCAAATCTCCTCCTGACCCAGAACGACACCTCAAATGACGTCAATGCGGTGACATCATCACCCAGCTTTTCTTTAAATAGTTTCAGACCCAGATTTTTATTTTCATGTCCTGCCTCCATGGGTTCTACTTCATATGTGTGTGTATGGCATTCTTGGGAGCACAATTATTCATTGAAAGCTTACGACAAAGGCTTTATACTCACACCACAGGTGACCCACCAGATGAGATGGTCTGATTAGATTTTGGAGGGCCTTGCTGCATAGATTTGCATATTAATGAGGAAAAGAATCAGGCGGGAGATTGGGCAGCTCGAGTGTGTCTTATTTGCAATTGTGATGATCATCAACAATCATGTTACTAAATAACAATGATTAAAAGCCACCATATGTCACTATCATCTCACTTCAGCGCTTTGAATTTGCTGAAAATATTAATTCATGAGGCAACGAAGGGAGTCTTGGAGATATCCCATAAAATTTGCATACAACCACGTCTGTCAGCGTGACCTTATAGCAGAAAGAAATGAGGACACAAGTATTCAGATCCTTTACTTATGAAAAAAGCAACAAATACATCAGTGTAAAAATGCTCCATTACAAGTAAAAGTCCTTCATTAAAATCCTACCAAAGTAAAAGTATTTATGTATTATCAGAAAAATTTAGTTTAAGAAAATAAAAGCACTCAATGCAAAAATGCATCAGTAGCATTTTATTGTAGTAGCCAGTTGAGGTGAAGCTTCTACAGTTTGGTAGTTTAGTCATGCGGTTCCTGACCTAGGGGTCAGCCCCTAAAAAGGGTCCCAAGCTAAATCCGAAGGGTCCTGAGATCATTCATGAAAAAAACAATAACAATTTCTGTTCATTTTTCAGCTTTTCTCTAATCTTTGCTTTTTTGTGAAATAATTACCAGTTTTGGCCTTGAACAGGGAAATCTCTCCTTTGTGGAACTGCTTACCAGACATAAATGGTATGTGATGTCAAACACAGACATTTTTTAGTACTTAATTTGCACAGCAACCAGTGACTAGTGGAGTAAAATGTTCTGTATTTCCAGCTAAAATGTAGTGGAGCATATAATAAAAATACTCGCATACAAGAACTTCAAAAATATATTTATGCACTTAATTTTTGTGTCTGTAAACCAAGACATTGAATATAGTTTTTAACATAGTGATACATAAACACATATAATGAAACTGAAACCATTAAATAGTGAGTCAGTAACTTTGAACTGATGTTGGTGAGCACAAAGCACAAAGATCGTTTCTGTCTTTATAGCATGCTCCTGCTGCTTTATCCTAACAATAAAAGATTGTTTGTTCATAAAAAGTTGAATGAAAACACAATCCGCTGTGATACACTTCTGTAGGGAATTCTTGTGGCGTTATAGGAGGCTGAGAGAAAAAAGAGAAGGGAGAACAGAGAGAAGAAAAGCAGTGCGTGAACGGTACAGGCAATGATACAGTCCGGGGATGAGGGACATAATGGGATGTCATCAGGGGTGCACACACACACACACACACACACACACACACACACACACACACATACACACACATACACACATGAACACACGTGAACACACATACATATATAAATAACTGGTGTGTGATGTCAGCTTTTCCTGACAGATGGGATCAACATAAATTAAACCCTGAGAGAACAAGAGAGACAGGGCGTGTGTGTGGGTGTGTGTGTGTGTGTGTGTGTGTGTGTGTGTGTGTACACGCACAGAAGAAAAAAAGCAGACAGGACAGTGAAAGAGTAAAAGAGGTTCAGAGTCAAATGTGCAAGATTAATTTTAGTGTAACAGCATGTGGCAAGACCAGCACTTGTCACTCACACACTCACACACAAACACACACGCACACACACACACATCACACACACACACACACACACACACACACACACACAATTACAAGGTTATTATGCTCACCATTATGTGCACAAGGGGAAATTAGACTGTAAATCACCTGTCTAATGCTGGTCATGGTGTAACTCTCAAAACCAGAATGTCACTTTAAGACGGCTGCCGTATAACTTTTCTTGTCACGTCGTCATGGTAATAACCATCCGCACATTACACTGCATGCCTTTGGCTGAACAATCCAATCATGATTGAGCTCAGCAGTCCAGATTTCTCAGAGTCCTGTGCTGTCAGACACATGATAATGCTGCTTTGCATGACAAAAAAAAAGTAAAGCCACCTTCTATAGCAGCTATTTATATATTTTGTTTGTTTAAAAGATTAAAAGGAAATTAAAAGTGGGAATAAAACAGAAATTAAGAGAGAGAGAGAGAGAGAGAGAGAGAGAGAGAGAGAGAGAGAGAGAGAGAGAGGACCAAGGGGGGATAGAGGAGGGACCAAAAACCTAGAGATCAATATCTTCCATATAATTACCTACAGCTTCCTGGGTTGCTAGGAGACCAAATAGAGATTGGAGAGAGGGAAAGAGAAGAAGAAGATGAGACAGACCGAGAGAGAGAGATAGACACACACACACACACACACACACACACACACACACACAAGCTCAAAATAATTTCAAGGTTGCACTGATTTTTATTGTGTTTTTGCCACCTGTGTTTAAATAGAGCTCATGCCAACAGAGTGGAGAAGAGGTGAAGATGAAGAAGAAGAAGAAGAAGAGGAGGAGGTGAAATAGTGAGACAAATAGAGTTATGGGAGGGGGGATGAATGCACAGAAAGATATGTCTGTTCCATAGGGGATTGGCTTGCATAAATAATTACTGAGATATTGACACTGTCTGCCTCTTTATCGTCTATCGTCCTGACCGCCCTCCACTCACTTTTATCTTCTCTTACCCCACATCCACTTTGTCCTGGCTTTGTTTTACTTTTCTATCCTCCCTGCCTTGACTTATCTCTCAATATTGTTTCTTTACATCCCATTCTTCTGCTTTTTTTTTCTCTTTCTTCTGTAGTTTCCCTGCCATCCTTGCTTTCATGTTTCTTTCTTTGCCGACAATATCTGTTTCTATAGCTATGAATCTGATTGTATATTCACAGGGCTGAGTAACAGTTAGGTTTGAAAACATGCTTTACAATAGCACATTATCATTAGCATCCTCTCAAAGGAACTACTTCTATAGACTGGGGACATTTGCAAATGTTTCTTTATATCTCTCTCATCATCAGTACTATAATCTATTAGCATTAGGCTACAGCAAACATTATCAATGGATTATGTTCATCCTATACACAAATAATTTGAATGAGAGTTGAATGCATTTAGCCATTCAGTGAATAACGGCTTGTTGAATGTGATCTCATTAAGCAGTAACATTAGATCGGTGCACTGTTCCTTTAAATGGAGGGAGAGGATGGGTAGCGGTGGGAGGTAGGGAGAGGGAGAGAGAGAGAGAGAGGGAGAGAGAGAGGGAGACGTAGTAGAAAAAGGGGGGGTCTGTTGTGCACTTTGTCTTGGAGAGGTGTGTGGGTTGAGTGTGGTTTGACTGAAAGAAAGAAAAGAAAGAAAGGAGAACGAGAAAGTGACTTCAGAGGAAATTGCTGAAAAGAGCTGCACATCTTTCCAGGATTTTTTTAAGGAGGCACTGACACTGATTCAACATTCCTTAAGAACATGTTGGACATGGAAACAAATGGCAGATACCACTGACCTCTGATGAGACAGTGTGCTCACTTTTAAGGACTTAAAAGGATTTAAATGAGGATAAGTTAATAGTCTTGAAAAGATTTCTCCAAGAAAATATCTTGCTTTGCTTCATAATTGTTTCTTGGTGGGACGTAAACAGCTGTGAGGGGACTTTAAAAGGAAATTCATAAATTGTTGGAGATAACTGCTCTCCTGGCAAGACTGAAATTTACATGAATATTGATGAAAAGCTTTTAGGCAGCAGGATATTCCTCGGAATATTTCATTATTTTCCTCTGGAGTAGAATTTAACATTTATTTCTTCATTAACCAATTTACCATATATTTACACTACTTTTAGACAACTTAGTGATGTTGTTATTTATTTGCTAGTGAATGACATAGGTGGTGACTGTGATTAAATTCTACAAGGACACAATCAATCGACATTCATTATTTTAGCCCATTATTACCAACTAGTTTTAGTCTCAGAAAGAGGAGAAGAAAGAAAGATGGCACAGAAAGAAGGGGGAACAGAGCAGGGGCGGGTTAAGACAGGTGACCATCTTGGGGCCAAAGCCATGGCAGGGGCCCCTACAGCAGGTGGAGGAGTGGTGGTGGAAGTCAGGGAGAAGAAGGGACCTCTGCGGGCTGCGATACCCACAATGCCTTTCCCTCTGGCTGTCATCTGTCTGTTTCTGAACACCTTCATACCTGGACTCGGTAAGTCTCAAATCACATTTTGCTCTTCTCTCCATCTGTAATTCATTTTGAATTCATTGGTACTGTGTTTGTGTAAGTCAGAACAACTGAGATCACATGAGTCACACGCAGGGTTGAAAATAGCGAAACAAGAGACCGAGTAGTCATGAAACTGGAAGACTCAAACAGACATGGAGAGTTTAAAGCTGTGCTACAAGCAGACATGCCAGCAAATAAGTAAATCAAACGAATATCAGAGAGGAATGTAGAGTGACCATAAAAGTAGCATGGGAAGTTTGCAGGCAGTGACAAGCCAAAATAAACTTAAACTGTGTCCAGCTTACTGTGTCCAGTTCCACCCATAACTCAGGGAACAAACTACACTCTCATTTTAACTGATTATCACTGTTGGAGGGAGTTATTTTTACTCATCTTTGGAAAAAAAGTTTTATTAACAAATAAATGTACAAGACAAGTTTTTCACTCTCAGGCTGTGTGAATATGTCTGTATTTTTCCTGTGTGCATGCATCCATGTGTGACAAAAAGAAAGACAGTGAGAGAGCCCATTCACACATTGTGTTAAAATAAGAGTGACAGGGTGTAAATACACACAGACTCCATCTGACAGGTGTTAATGCACACAGTAAGTGTGGGGTCTAGATTATCACTGCAGGTAAAAACCTCATCACTTTGAGTGTAAAAATCCATCGCATCTCATCATTACAAGCAGCAGGTAGAGATATCGCCACTGTGTGCAGACTCGACATTTGCATCACTATCAAGGGTTAGAAACCTTGATACTGTAGTTTTAAGATGTGAACTGAGTAGTTTATTATAAAGGATATTTAAACAGTGAAAGTATATATTTAATTGTATGATTATTAATTTAAATAAATTCAATGATTATTCAATTATTCATTTTCATCTTATCTTATCTTATCTTATACAAATGATCCATTCATTCATGATTTTATCAATAACAAACTGTTATTGTAAATTCTGACATTTCAGACGATGTTTTCCTGAAATGATACCCGACATCCAGCTTGTAAGTAAAGTTCAACCGAGCCACTGGACTGCATAATATTAGGAGTTGTTTCCCCAAAACATGAGGGGAGAGGAATATTAATCATATATTCATATAGTAATATTAATAATGATATCTTTGTAAAGGTAGAATTTATGAGTTCTTGTATTGGATTGCATTAGATTTCATAGGTGTACTTAATAAAGTAGCCACTGAATGTATGTGAACTTTATTTTGGGATATTTTGTTTTTGTACAACTAACCAAATTCTTGTTGGCAATTAAATAAAATAAACTGGCGTAACTGTACGTGTACAACTCTACGTGATCTTACACAATTTAATGCAACTTTAGTCATAGTGGTGCTACAGCAACATGATTAATTCAAATGAATGTAACTAAGTAGCGCCGAGTCTGACTCACTTGGCACAGTTCAACTGTCTATAAAGTCCTACTAATCTCAAGATTTAGGTATTCTAAGAAAATCTGTCTCATTCTTTCACTAAGTGCATTTTAATGCAGCTCATGAGCATATTGTTAGGATGCCTGTACCTTCTGTCCAAACCCTATCATCTAATTTCAGGTTCTTAATCCTCCACTTGGTTGGATGTCTGTGCAGGCGTGCCTGTGTATAGTAAGATTATGTAACAACATCTGGTAGCTACAGACACGCATAAATACACACACACACACACACACACACACACACACACACACACACACACAGTAACACAGTAACACAGTAACACAGTATGCAGCATCAGCCTCATCAATATGTTGATCCTCAGTACATGACAAAGCCTGTGGAGCCAGACACAAACATGCACACACACACACACACACACACACACACACACACACACACACACTGTGTTCTGTACCATACATCCACTGTCACTAAATAAATAACACACACTTTTCATTTTTGCCATGTTACAGTAAAGCCTCATATTAAATAACAGATCAGATCTCCATGCATGGAGACACACTCATTCACTAATGTAGATCGGTTTAGGGGTTTCTGTTCAAAAGCAGCAACACAAAAAAGAGAAAAAGAAACACATACAAAGAACAAAAATCCACAGAGAGAGAAAGCCGAACTCAGATGTTTGTCTCTGATGAAATTATGAGACTCATCTCCATAAACCACTCAAAAGTCCATCACCAAATAACCTACGATGTGTCCTCTCCGCCCCCTGCCTCTGATCTATTGGTCATAACTCTCTTGAGACTTATTACGTGTGTGCTTGTCCTCCCTTCCTCATCTCTTCTCTTCTCTTCCCTTCCCTTCTTCTCTCTGTGCTTTCTCTATTATCTTTGTCTTTCTGTGCCAAATTCTAAACCTCTTCTCTTATTAATTCATCTTTTTTCATCCTCTCACTTTTACACACATCCAACAGTCGATTTGTTTCAGCCTTTGTACAGTAAATGTCGAATCATTGAGTGCTTGAAAATGTCACAAACGGCTGTGTAAGAAAACCAGGTCAGCAAACACCAATGACCTAAAAAAATCCTTTCTCCCCTCCTTTTCGCAGTAGACATGTTACCTTAAAACCTGTCCCAAGTATGTATGAAAAGCATCAAGGCAACACCTCATCTATGTGTGTGTATGTAGGTTGGCCTGAATGCCTTGACATTTCATTGAATAGCAGCGGCTAGTTGCCATGACAACACTGACTGAAATGAACACAATGCACGTGTGTGACCGTGTTTGTGTGTGTGTGTGTGTGTGTGTGTGTGTGTGTGTGTGTGTGTGTGTGTGTGTCAATGTCGTTTGGGTCTAATTGACTGAGACTGGAAACAGCGGCTTGCTCTATTCATCCTCGTGTAATTGAATTTGGACATGAGGCAGAGCAGAACACAATCTCCTGCAGACATACACACAAACATGCACAGAAGAGTACGAGCGTGTTAGTGCTGTAAAATGACAAATAATTTAGGACACTTTTATAGCACAACAGATTTACAGAAGTCAGTTCAGGGCGTTTTGTTTAACAGCAGCTGGCTCCTTGGTATCAGTTTATGTCTGCTACTGTTAACATTTACTGGATCACTGAAGCTTTAAAACTCACCTGAACTGGAAATATTAGATTTAACCAGATGACAAACGTATAGTGTGTTTAAAATAAAGTGTACTCACTCATGTTTCACATTGCGATTGAGCATTTGTCCACTATCATACTTCTGTGCCTGAGCTGGAGATACTGTATGCACATCAAATAACCAGGTCCTTAAAGGAGTTCATGCACTCTGGACCGACACATATAAGCACTTTGTGATCTGAAATTATCGACAAAACAACAGTGCAGAATCAAAATCAAAACGATTTTTTGAACTTACACTGCAGAGGTTTGGTTCGGTTTAAGCACAAAAATGAAAATAACTACATGTTTCAGGTTAAGGGATCTCCTGGTCACAGTTAAAGCTAGCCTGGCTCTTTCCAAAGATGACAAAATCAATCTATAGCATCCCTAAAGTTCACTAATTAACATGTTATTTCTCGTTTGTTAAATATGTACAAAAACCGAAGTGTAAAAAAGGGATGTTGTGGTTTTACAGGGTATGGCCCCTTTTTTTTTTCAGTCTTTATGCTAAGCTAGGCTAACATTCTGCTAGCTGCAGCTTCATGTTTACCGTACATGATAGTGGTATAAATCTTCACCTCTCACAAATAAGATTCATGAAATGTCAAACTATTCCTTTAAAAGAAACCAACTGTTCGGAGGAGACCAGGATCTGAATTCTGTTCCCTGGTGTCAAACTGAGACACTCTGTGACGGGTATAAACCACTCATACAAGATAATTAACATTTCTGATCTGCCACCTCTGGTTCAGATTTGGTTCAATAGTTTAACATTTTGGTAAATCCACTCATTTACTTTCTTGCTGAGAGTTAGATGAGAAGATCGATACCATTCTCATGAAGAGTGGTATCAATCTGCTGGAGCTAGAGCCAGGAGGTAATTACATTAACTTGTAAAGACTGGAAACTGAGGGAAACAGCAAACCTGCCTCTGTCCTAAGTTAAACATTTGCTCCTACCTGTTGACTGTCAAGGAATAGCTGGTGGAGAATATTTCCTCTGTTTGCAGCCTTAATGCTAAGCTAGCTCTAGCTCCATTCTTAAAAGATAAGGTATTGATATTCTACTGTTTAAAAAGAGAAGCAAATATCCCAAAATGTTCAGTAATTCTAAACAACTAACAGTATTTATGGTTTGAAAAGATTGTGGTTGTGATTACTATGGGAACAGCAGGAGACAAAAGGGATGGAAATAACAATTTATTCATTTCACATATGATGATAATGACAATAACAGGTCCATATATCTAAAACGTATAATATATATAAACAAACAGGGTGATTTTTACCTAAGTGAGGCTCAAATGTTAGAAAGTGTGTATTGTGTATTTCTACACCAGAGATTGTATATCAAGAGTCTATGTTCTCTACACTAGGAGCTCTACAGCAAGTTGGAGGATTCAATCTGACAACCTCCTTCTCTCTGGTCCACTAGTTTTAACTTTACATTAATCCTGTCTGACATTAAGTTGCAATAACCTTAGATTGTCCCTGAAATCTAATGAAGACCAAGTAAAGGTCTATTTTTGAGTGCCACAGACACTGTTAGTCAGTGCAGTGTAAACTAATTAAAGAGCTGTCGGCTTGTAATTAATTACACGCACTTTTTGTGAAGGAAACTAAAGCTCACCGTTCTGGTTGTGTTATGATCTTTGCCATAAGAGGATAGGAAAGCGCAAGGCTTTGACACAGAGAACTAAAGTGAACATATGATTTAGCCCTCAGCGTGAGTGTGTGGGTGGCTGAGGTCACGTGTGTGTGAGTGCGGGGGTCTGTGTGTGTCTGCACGTGTGTGTGATTGGTGGTATGTGATATTGGAGACACTGCATCAGTTTACGTCGTCATGTTGACATCTTGCCTCAGGATGTTTGTGAGTGTGTGTCAGTGTGTGTTTCATGACTCCTATTCTTA